ATTCCTGGTGGCCACGGCAGAGGTACTCCCAGCTTTACCCAGCACCACTAGGAAAAGGGCACACAGGCAGTGAGGGCAACTGTAACTGCAGGTGGTTGGGAGAGCTTGCGAGCAGGCACAAGAAGGATGCACAAACTGGTGGGAGCACATGGGTGGGTGGGCAAGAAGGGAGCCTAGTAGTGGGCATAGGGGGGCCCTGAGCACTCTCTGTCCAGGGCCTGTTAAAACCTGGAACTGGCCCTAAAGATATCTTTTTCCTTCCCTCCCCCCTTTGATTCACCATCAAATCACACTTCACACGCATGTGTACAGACTGCACCACACACACACACAACACCAACACTCAAAATCACAGATCCACTGCTGTAATGGTGCACAACTGATGAAGATCTATGTCTTTGATACATGTTTTTGCACCACGTGCAAAACCCTATCACCCAGCAAGCTTCCATGGGAGAGTGAGGATTCACACCAGGAGCTCCCAGATCCTAGTCTGACACTCTAGCCACAACGCCACATTACTTTCAATCTGTGGACAGGGATGTAAGCTGTACTACTCCTATGTATGTATGTATTGGGTCTGTGATTTTTGGGAGTGGGTGTGTGTGGTCTGTGAACAAGGGAATGGACCTGGGTTTTGATGGTGGTGATGGTGGGGGGGTTGCTCTGTGTGAAAAACTAGATGCTCCAAGAGCCAGCTGTTTGTTTGAGGGCACATTACATATCGGGTGTTAGCAAGTCCTTTTTTTCTGGGGGAATGTGCTGGAATGGAAGTCCAGAACCTCTTCACAAAAGTATTTTTAAAATGATTAAAAGTTCATGAGTTTTATGAAAACTTCATTTCCCTCTTGAGAGTTCCAGCACTTGTTTTTCAAAAGACAGCAAGCAAGCAAGCCCTGGGTGTTAGAACAAAGTCTGAGTCCAGTGGCACCTTTAAGACCAACAAAGTTTTGTTCAGGGTATAAGCTCTCAGAGCTTGTGCCTCTGTTGGGGAGGGGCAGCGTGGTGGACTTCCCCAGCCCTCCAAGGGGTCGTCTGGTCTTCTGGCTGCTTCCAAGGTGTGGCCTATGAGCCAGCTTATACCCTGAATAAAACTTTGTTGGTCTTAAAGGTGCCACTGGACTCGAACCTTGTTCTGCTGCTTCAGATCAACACAGCTTCCCACCTGGATCTATACTAGGTGAGATGGTTAGACAGTGTCACCGATGCAAGGAACATGAAATTGAGCAAACTTCAGAGGATGGCGGAAGGCCTGGCATGGAGTCCTGAAGAGTCCACTGTGGGACTGAACAACACCAACAAACTATATGCTGGTCTAAAGACCTAACAAACAAACAAAGTGTTAGGTTTTTTTTAGGGTGGGCACCCTTTGCGGGGTGGGGGGGCAGTGTAGGGAGAGAGCATAATTCTGCTTCAAGGTAGGAAAGACTTAAGAAAGAGTACTGACTGAAGGGCACTAGTGGGAAGCGGTGTCCCTCCTGGGGGGCGCGGCCTGTCGCCTTCCCCCCAGGCTCTAGACTCCTCCGGCCAGGAGGTGCCGCTGCAGCCGTCGGCCGCTTCCTCATGGCCGTCTGCCCGCCCGTCTGGCCTCCTCTCGGTGGCCTGGGCGCAGGAGGCCTCGCGGGGGCGACGGCGGCGCCCTTGGCGGCCAGCTCGGCCCGGCCTATAAAGGGGCTTCCGCGACCGGCGCCACATCCTCTCAGCTCGCCTTGGAGAAGGAAGGGGGGGAAACCTTTTAAATGATTTAAAATTAAAAAAAAAAAATTAAAAAAAACAAAAAAAAAAAAAACCCCGCCTGTGTGAACAGTACTTTGCGCGAGGGAAGCGGAAGACAGAGGGACCGTCTGACCACCTCCTAGCGATATAAAATGTCGCGGATATGTCTCGGATATAAGAATTGCGGGAAAACTAGCGCAGTAAGAGGTCCGTGTGACCAGACCCCTAGTGACAGCAGATACACAGAGTTCTGTGAACTGCCATTACCGTGCACAGAAGAACTGGTTGTGGAAATGTGGCTTGAGCTGGAAAGAAGCCAGGAAATCCAAACATTTTAATAAAATGCCCCAAAATGGCTTTATTTTATTCCTTGTACATACTGCCAGCTCCAAATTTGACATTTTCTTTGCTGTGTAGTAGCATTTTTTTAAAAAAATCCAATAAATTTCGAACTCCTGCAAAAAAGGACTATGTAATGGACCACTGCTACCATCTTAATGATAGTGACATGAATCTCCTTTTCGCGGCCTTTTCGCCTCCTTGGCTTCCTTTAATTTAAAGATATGTAAGTGTCTAGGTAAGGACGGGAAACTTTGCTGAACCCACAAATGTGCTGGGATCTATTTTATGTATGTTGTCTAAATAAATCTTATGGGACAGAAAGCCCCCATAAATAGATGTTTAAGATAATATAGTTTGTTTTTTTCAGAGTTATTTTTTTAATCAGAGACACGTAAGATATTAAGACTGAAACAGTCGTTAATTACTTGAACTAGATTTCCCAGTTGAGTGTTTTGCAGGGGGAGAGTGAAAGAGATTTTATTTTTAAAGGTATAATTGGAAATTATTTAAGTGAATATTTAACTTTTTAAAAATGTTCCTGCCCCTTCATTTTTATCTGGGTCTGAAGTAATTTTTTTCTGCATAGGTACTCTTATCTGGTTATGTCTTGGCCCTTCTCAAACACTAAATTTTGATATCTGCACTCTTTGTGTTATCTGCTTTTTCTTCTCTGATACAAAGAACTGTCTTCAGCAGCCCTTTCAACCTTTTTTTTGTGGCCCTGACTAGCTCTGGTTTTAAATTCCCTCCAAACTAGTGGTTTTCTTTCAAAGATTTTATTTAAAAAAAAATAACTTAAAAGTCTAATAGTAGCACCTTGGGGCGGGAGTGTGTGTGGAGAGTGGAAGATGAACACAGCTGCTAGTAGCTATCCAATGGCTTCATTGTATGTGGGTGACCTTCACCCTGATGTCACGGAGGCCATGCTCTATGAGAAGTTCAGCCCTGCTGGTCCTGTGCTGTCCATCCGTGTCTGCAGAGATATGATCACCCGTCGCTCCCTGGGATATGCCTATGTCAACTTCCAGCAGCCGGCAGATGGTGAGTATCCGTGTAGGACCAAGGCCCATTCAAGCTATGTTCTTATGTCAAAAGTTGAACAACCTGGCCCAGCATCTATGCTATGTCCCCCTCTTGTATCAGTTGGACCATGTGTAGTGAAAAGGCTTGCTAGTGGTCACCATAAGGTCTTTCTGCTAACGGTCATGCGGTGCTATGTGTAAGTTACTTACTCTGGGCACTGCAGGAATGGGGTAAACAGGCTGTGAAAAGCAGCAGTTTGTGGTATATAACTACCACTCAACTGGGCCTATGATTTTGCAAATAGCAAAATTTCACCTTTGTTCCATAATTGTGGGCATTGTTTCCATTTTGCTGTTTGTAAAGATTTTTTCCTATCAAACCACTTAAGGGTCAGGAGGTGTGTGTAGTACATTTTTGTCCCATCCTTCCTCCAAGGAGCACAGTGATGTACATGATTCTCCTTTCCCCTTTTTACCTTCACAGCAACCCTGTGAAGTAGGTGAGGCTAAGAGAGAGACTGGCTGGATCAGGGATACCCAGTTAATTTCATGGCAGAATGAGGATTTAAACATAGGTGTCCTAGATCCTAATCGTAATTACTACACCAGTGACCCCTTGAAGATTTGTTGGGCTGAGAATAATTACATGTTCCATGACCAGGGATTTCAACATGTGCCTTCTGTGTCTGAACTTGGGGAATTGTTTATTGGGACTACATTGATTCTTAGCAACTGCAATTGCGAAGTTTTCATCCAATTACAAATTTGTGTGCACTCAGGGAGCATGTCAATGTTTGCTTGAATTACTTAAGCCATACCTCATCTACAAAATATCCATTTAATAAAAGCTGTTTTCCTGCTTCATGAGCATTTGTTGAAGCCAGTTTCAAGAAACAGCACTAGAAAAATGGGTATTCAATTTTTTTAAAAAAATGAGTGAGGTATGGTCTTATGTACTCGATATCTTCAAGGAAGCTGAAATTCATTTTCCTTGATGTTCTAGGGGTTAATAAAGTAATAGATTAACGTGTCTAATTCATAGTGTGGCAATGAATTCAGCATAGTGAACTTTACCCTGCTGAAATTTGTTGCCTGCATGTAATGAAGTATGATGAGTGGTAATGGGCAGTATAAACATCCTCTCAAATTCTTGTGGAGGATGCCCAAGCAGGTATCCAGTCTTGATCCTAAAACTACCAGCATTCAGAGAAATAAGTTTCCCATAGTGGCAGAGTGGCTTCTAGGGAAGCCATGTTTACTTAATGAAGGTATCAGATTCTGAAGCAAATGTTTGGAAGAAACCTTTAAGGCCTAAGCATCAGCACATCAGTCTGTCTTGGAGAAAGAAAGTCAGACCGTGTAAATATTCCGAAGCCACTGGACGCCAAAGTGGCGAGGTAACAATTTAAAAAATGGAGTTATTGTTGTGCTGTGCCAATAAAGGTTACTGAAATTGGTTAAAATTTTTAAAATGCCCCAGGTGGGTCTATACGTATTAACTAGATTGATAGCCAGCCAGTGTTTTTGCTTGCCATTAGCAGAGGGGCAGAGTCTTATTTCTGTTACATTGTGCTTTGGAATAATTTGGTGTAGCTCCACAACTCAGTGTGACTGTGTGGATGATGCACACACACACCATTCTGTGCAGATTGTAGTGCTTGCCCATGTCATGTTTAGCTTCATGGCTAGGGGAAATGCTCACATGAAGATTGTGGCAATAAAAATTTGTTAACCCCTTTCAAAAGATATTGAGCCATTGGAAGGCTAAGGGAAGAGTAGCTGTCTGCACTGCCTGTTTGGGAGCTGTAACAGATAACCAGGATGGCTCTGTGACGAGCTATGCAGTTTGCAGAGACCACAGGTCTTTTAACCATCACATGGCCTGCTAGAGACCAGCACAGTGTTGCACTGATCTCTCCAAAATTAGAGCTGTCCAGGTATGGCCAAAGTGAAGCACAGACTATTTAAGTGTCATGCCTCGCATGCTGACTAGGATGCAGTCTTGTAGAGCAAAAGAGAGTATTTTAATAAATGTTTAGAAATGCAGCCTGTCAGTCTGCTACAATGACTGTCCAAATGTGAAAGAAATCTGTTTTCCTGCAGCTTTTAACAGTATTGGACCATGGTCTTAGAGGAGATTCTGCATGGCAGGATCCAGCACATTTCACTGTGCAATGAAGAATGCTGTAGAGCATGTCAGTGACTACTTTGTTGCATGCCTGCTGTGTTTCATGCCACTTGCTCCTTTTTAGCAGGATCTCTGTTCAGCTACAAATGGCATATTGTAGGAGTTGCTGTCCTTGCCAGCATGTCTCTCTCTCTGAAGCACCTCTTCCTGCTATAAATAAACACTGCCAAATTTGACTAGCTGGGCTGAGGATCCACTTGTAATGGAACTCCTTTGGTTAACACAAGACAACTGGTCCTTCTAAACCATGGTGCCTCTTTCCTGTTAGTGAGCAGCTGGTAATGAGGGGATGGTATGAAGGTGCAGTTACTTGGGGAAAGAGGTATGAATCTTTGAACATTTCCAGTATTGGCTCACCTTTGCACGGCCAGCCAGAGCTTCCACTGCCACATGTCCAGTAAACAGAACTTGGGGAGTTCTGTGAAGCCAATAAAATCCTCTTCCGTTTCCAGGCTTGCCCACTATACTTGGGTAACAAACCCTTTTTGCTTCGTGCCATTCTGGAATGTGGTTTGCATCTTGGGAATAGTTCTTGGATCCTGCTCTACCCCTGCATTTCCAGGAATCTGCACTGGCCCTGATCACCTCTTCCAGCTTTGGCCTGTTCATCCATTGCTGGAAGATCGAGATCTTGCCACTGTCATTCATGCCATAGCAGTTCTAGATTCAGCTATTGTTATTTGTTCTGCTTGGGACTGTCCTTGAATATGATTTAGAAATTTCTGCTGGTAAAAGTGTTGCAGCAGACCTCTGTCTAGTGTTGCTGAGATCATATTATGGTGACTAAAGTAACCTCACGGGTGTTTCCAGGCTAATTTCAAGGTGGTGATCTTAGTATGTAAACTGTTTCTTCCCTGTGTGTATCAGACGGCATTAGTTGCCACGTGTACCTCCTTAATCGTTTAAGAGGTTCTGCCTTCCTTTTCCAGTGTTCCAGGAAGGGGGCTGTAGCTCAGTGGTACAGCATCTGCTTGGCATGCAGAGAAGCCCAAGTTCAAAGTCTGGCATCTCTGGATCTGGTAGTAGGTGATGTGAAAGACCTCCATGGGAGATCCTGGAGAACGAATCTTGATGGACCAAGGGCCTGATTCCGTATAAGGCAACTTTATGTGTATTTGTTGCGCATAGGAAATCAGTGAGAGAATTGTTTGGGGGAAATGGCCAACATTTTTATTTCCTTTTTGCTGAACTGCAGCTGAATATCAGCAAAGATTTGTATTTTGAGGAACAGACAGAATGATACTTTACATTTACTGCTTCTTGAATGCATCTGAGTTTCCCCGTCAGTTGGAGGAGTTGAATTTTTGGAATATTCTGTACCAGGAAAAAGATGTGTTCAGTTCGCCAAGGGTGAGCAGGTCTGGCTTTGAGGGTGAGGTTTTGGTTGAGAAGCCTTGAGGAAGTAGTTCTTGAATTCCCATCTGCCACACCCCTCAGCCACCTGCTTTCTTGTTACTTCCCCTGCTACTTACTGCTGTCCAGGCTGTCCTTACCCACATTATGCTATTTCAACTGTTTCCCTTGGCTCTTTTTAGCAGGGAGAAGCACACAAGAAAGGTGTGTGTGTTGTCTTTCTGGTTAGGAACAAGTCTAAGAGATAGTGTGGCATAGTGCTTAGCATGCTGGATTCGGATCTGGGAGACCCAGGTCTGAATCCCCACTCTGCTGTGGAAGCTCCCTGCGGTGGCCTTAGATCAGTCTCTTTCGCCCAGCCCAATAGGGTGGTTGTGAGGATAAAATGGTGGGCAGAATGCTGTTGCAGGCAGCTTTGAGTTGGGGAGAAAAACAAGGCACCTAAGAAATAATACATTCTGGCTAAACAGTGCCTCCGGGAATGTATTCTCATACTAGTTTCAGGCTCCTCCCTCCCCAGTTAAAAATCAGTTTCTCTTCTTCCAGCTCACTGAAAACGCTGTTTGGCATGAAGCTCTGCTCAAGCTTCTGAATTTTATGAACAGAATCCTGATGGGAGTGTGTCACGGTGCTTTTAATAAGCTACTCAGTACAAAAATAGAATCCTGAAGGAGGATTAGTGTGAGTTGCAGAAGCTTTAGAATGTGGTGGATAAGATTTCCTGTGTAGTACAAGAAGGACTTCCGTAGTCCTTGCTAGGATAGGGCGATTAATATTGCCTCATTGCAAAAAAGTGATGAGACTGAAGCACGTGGGGAAGAAACAAATGTGTTGCTGCGGGTTTTGTATTACAGTTTAGTAACAATCCAGCAGTTTCTGAGTCATCATTCATATAATTGCAAATGTGCCATATTACTTTCAGGGTTCATAATCCCTTTTCGCTTGGTCATACTCACTTATTGTGCTTTGGTTAAATGCTCAAATGTGTACACATCCAGTCCAGTGTTCCCTCTAAGTTGAGTTAGTGTGAGCTAGCTCACAGTTTTTTAGCCTCCAGCTCACACATTTTTGTCTTAGCTCAGGAAGGATGACTCCAGAGCAAACTAATTCATGCAGTAGCCGAATCACTTGCTCACAACTTTAATGCAAGTTGCTCACAAAGTAGAATTTTTGCTCACAAGATTCCACAGTTTATTGATCCAGTCATGTACATTTGTTGTGTCCAATGTCATTTAAAAAAAATTCTGGTTTTTTTTTTTAATTCTAAGCTGCCTCAGAACGCACATGAGTATTGTAAATAAACATTTGCTGAAATGCCATCCAGAAGTATGATAGGAGCAAGGCAATGCATGCCCTGAAGGTGACCCTTATGTGGGGCATCTCAGTTCATGCAGAGCGGGTCTCATCACTTTTTCATCAAGGTAAAGCCTCACTTCTCCTTACTGCCTTTAACCCTGCAGCGGAACGAGCTCTGGACACCATGAACTTTGATGTGATTAAAGGGAAGCCCATCCGCATCATGTGGTCTCAGCGGGACCCTTCCCTGAGGAAATCCGGGGTAGGGAACGTCTTCATTAAGAATCTGGACAAATCCATAGACAACAAGGCACTTTATGACACATTCTCAGCTTTTGGGAATATCCTTTCCTGCAAGGTGAGACTTGGCATCTTCCCTGAACTCTCAACAAGGCCTGTTTTGATGTGCCCTCTTACAACATCTCAGGGGGCTGGTGGGAACTTGAATACATGTAACATGGGGAAATAATGATGATGTCAGGCATTTGAAATGTGGTGTTGGAGGATCAAATCAAGCCCGAACTGTCCCTAGAAGCTAAAAATGACTAAACTGAGGCTGTCATACTGTGGACCCATTATGAGTAGACAAGAGTCACTGGAAAAGACAATCATGCTAGAAAAAGTTGAAGGTGGCAAGAAAAGAGAAAGCCCTACCATGAGATAGGTTGACTCAATCAAGGAAGCCACGGCCCTCAGTTTGCAAAACCTGGCTAGTAGTTTGTTAACAATAGGATGTTTTGGAGATCATTAATTCATAGGGTTGCCATAAGCCTGAAGCGTCTTGACTGCACTTAACACACACAGGCATTAGGGATGTGTAAGCAAAACTGCAGAATGTGAAGACAGGAAAAATAAATCACTTTACAGGTTTGGAGACAAAAGACAAACGTACTCTTGCCAGATATCTTAACTGTGTCCCCATTGGTGTTCTGGTTTCATTTCCTTGTTCCCAAAAATAATCAGATAGAATGGTTCTCCTCCTGAAAGCTTCCCATGAGATATTATGTAGACTCTTGCACTATAATTAGATGTAAATGCAGGGCTTCCATACTCAAGAGAAGAGTGTCTCATTGGTGGCCAGGATTCCTTTGGGGCGGGGAGAGGGGAACCTATGTTCTTTTAAGCATTGAACAGCAATTCTTGTGATTTAATTCATATTACTGGTGTAAGAGGTATTCCTGCCTCCCTCTGTTCATTTTTTCTAACACCCTTGTAAGATCATTGTCATTGCCATGGCTTAAGTGAAGCCAAATAACAGGAAGTTGTGTTGTTCACCTCTGGCCTGTTGCCTTGCAGGTGGTGTGTGACGAGAACGGCTCTAAGGGCTACGCATTTGTGCACTTTGAGACACAGGATGCTGCAGACCGGGCCATTGAGAAGATGAACGGCATGCTGTTGAACGACCGCAAAGTGTGAGTGTCTCGGCTAGAAGCAGCGGTAGCCCACCGCATGAGCCGTGATGCATCTCAGTATTAACACACAAGGCTGCTGGTTCTCCTGGCCCAAGCCTTGGCCTGCTACCTCTCCAGGGCTGGTGAGTTTCCCTGCCCGAGCCACAGCCTACACCCCATGGTGCAGGGGCCTCCTTTCACTTACCACCTGATAGGCTTGGTCCAATATCTTGTGTTTGCCCTGCTCAGCAATGTTGGGTGGGTGTTTTTAGCTTGCTTCCTCTTCACTTTCAGAACGGGGGACTCATCTCCTTGGTCTCTTGCCCTCTCATGTCTGTCCATCTCATGTCCAGCTTCTGCTTATTCCCTTCCCCTGGAACCATGCTCTGCCTTTCCACTGTTGCAGGAAAGTGGGGTTTTTATTTCATCATCATTTTTATTCTTTTTCTCTTTCAGATTTGTTGGCAGATTCAAATCCCGAAAAGAGCGCGAGGCAGAATTGGGAGCCAAAGCCAAGGAGTTCACTAACGTTTACATTAAAAACTTTGGGGATGATATGGATGATGAGAGGCTCAAGGAGCTCTTCAGCAAATATGGTAAATATTCCTGCAGTGGGTCCTCAACATTCTGTGGCTGTCACCTGGGGTGCTGCTGAGGGCAAAGAGATTTTTGTTAAGAATTTTCCCTTCAGGTAATATCTGAGGAATACCTCCCAGCCAAGGTGTTTGAGTAAAGAAAAGATGGGAAAATATTGTAAAACAGGACAAGATGAGACAGATTCTCTGAAGAGAAACTAACTTTTGGTCTCAGAATAGCTCAGCAGTTTTGAAACATCTTTGGGGGAAAACAGTCTTTAAAGCCCTGGTTTCATTTTGAAAGGTTCTCCTTGACGTTTGCTGTGTGCCATCTTTGCTAATTCAGTTCTTCTGGCAACAGGCAAGACCCTCAGTGTGAAAGTCATGACAGATCCCACTGGGAAGTCCAAAGGCTTTGGCTTTGTGAGCTTTGAAAAGCATGAAGAAGCTAACAAGGTATGAACAGCTCCTCTTTCTGAGCATGAACTCAAAGTTTAATATCTCATGTCATTTTAAACTATTACCTGTTTTTGGGTTGGAAAATGGGGAAAAAATGGACTAGGTTCATCTGTAGCTACCACAAAGTAATATTGATACTAGCAAGCAAAAGACCTGCTCCACTGCATCCCCATCTTTAAACTGAGAATGGGGCAGTTGCGGATTTAAAAGACTTTTTCAGAGGTAAGATTCATCAGTTATCCGGTGGCAGTTTTAAAGTGATTATTCTGTGATACAGTCCTTAGATTAACAAGGGATTCGTGCATGTTTCCAGTAAGCATTTTTGGCCATTTGCAGTCTGTTTCTCTTTTCCCCCTCCCCATTACATTAAAGAATGTAAGGTCAAAGATTAGACTGTTTAGAAAAGAGAGATTATAACTATCAAAATTAAGAATACATTTCCAAAACTGAAAGGGTTCCCAAGTAACAGCAAAGAACAGTTCGTGCTGTCTTCCATCCTTTAGAGGGAGACATTCTGTTAATTTAGCCAATTTCACAGTTTGCCACACTTTTCAAATCCATTCCTTGATAGAAAAATCTGGCTATGATTTTGCAGCTGTCAGCATATCAGCAATGATAGGATATCTTACTTTAGAAGTAACATTTTGTAAGTCCTAGGTGCACTGTTTTAGGGCTTTAGGTACTGATATTACAGTCATACATTTGATTTCATTTAAAGCTCTTCTCCAAAAGTCAGTGACATCTGCAGTGCCTACGACATGTGTTAAATACACTGCTGATTTCTGCCCATACTTCCTACAATGTAGTATTAAAGATTTTATCTAACTGGTGAGGTGTTCATTACCACATATACAAGACTTCATGAAAATTCTTTTAAAGTTAATACAAATTGTGTTTGCAGGCTAGGTGTCAAAGATTAATTCTGTTCATTACCCGGGACTCGATCATCTAAAAAAATTTTTTTCATTTAACAATGAAAGATAGATTTTGTTTTTTTCTGATGAGGGAGTGTGGCTTAATGGTCTGCTTGGCATGCAGAAGGACCCAGGGTCAATGCCTGGCATCTCCAGTTTAAAAAAGGATCTCTTAGTAGGTGTGAAACTCTTTGGGACCCTGGAGAGCCCCTACCAGTCTGAGTAGACAGTACTGCCTGTAATTATTCAATATGAGGCAGCTTCATGTGTTTATATGTCTACTTTGAAAAACAGTAGATAGGAAATCTCTGGTGTTAGTCTTCCAGAAAAATCAGATCTTCAAAAGATGTTAAAGACTTCTCAGTTGGCCTGTTATAAGATTGCAATATTAAAAACTGTGTAGTTGAAAGTATAGAAGCCAGCATATCATAGCAATATAACGAATTCTCATTATGGCTCCATCTGTGGATACTTAAATCCAGAGGCTGAAGCCATGAACAGATCATTTTTCTATAAACTTGAGAAAAGCCCAAGTTTGCAGAAAAATGTGAAATATAAAAACTAAATTGGAGAGTTAACCCCCTCTCCGCAATAATTAAAATGCTTGTACCTTCAAGAAAGAATATATCAGTGGTCATTGTGGAGTTAGGGCCAATCAAAAGGCAAGATTTCAAGTAGACAGAAGTTGCTAAGCAATGTTGCCAGCCTTCAAACCTTGGTTTCTGTCAGGAAAAGACAAGGGAAGGGTGCTTTCCAGGGCTATGATGGCTTCCCAGTCCACCTCTGCTTTCCTCCCCTCCTGCCTTAGGGGAGGACACATTGGTGCCAAGCTTAGCAAAAGCCCCCAGGCAACTTGCTACCATTTAGTTTGTACAGCTCACCCAGCTGGGGATGACTTGGTGCTACACCACTCACCTGGACCCAGTGGCAGCTTCCACACAGATTGTGCAATTTGGTCAGGCATGGCAGCACACATGGCAGCACACAAACCACGTGAGCAATTTGCTGTTGCACAAATTTTGCGACTTGGCTGGATGTTTCCCAGAGAGAGGTTGCCATGGGGGAGGGAAGGAGAGAAAACGGAGAGTCACTGTAGTGTAGTAGTTACAGTTGTCAGACTAGGATCTGGGGGACCCAGGTTCAAATCCCCACTCAGCCATGAAAGCTTGCTGGGTGACCTTGGGCCAGTTGCTCTCTCCTTGTCTAATCTACCTCATTGGGTTGTTGCGGGGATAAAATGGAGGAGAGGAGAATGAGGTAAACTGCTTTGAGTCTCTGTGGGGAGAAAGATGGAGATATAAATGAAGCTGAATGTTCACTGGCAAACAATTAATTGGGAAACCATCTGGGACTAGCCAGCTAATAATTCAAGGATATATAGTATAAAACTACAATTTTTCAAATTAGTCTTGAGATGGTACTTAACCCCCCAACAACTACACAGAATTAGCAGAAATAACAGCTCTATGTGCTGGAAAGGATGCAGACAAGAAGGGATTTACCTGCATTGCTGGTGGAATTGCCCAAAGATCCTCCAGTTCTGGAAAGACGTAAAACAACAAATTGATATTATCACAGCACAAAACATCACATTTACACCAGAAATCTTTTTATTGAATCATTGGGACGACTCCATCCAAAACCACAGGAAAGACCTTGTCTCAGTTCTCTTTGCAACAGCCCGACAAGTAATTGCAACTTGCTGGAAATCCTCGGCGCCGCCATCGATCTCAGCTTGGCAAGTCAAATTATGGGAACACTTTGTCATGGCAAAGATAACCGACTTGCTCAGTAAACCACAGACTATAACGACACACCTCTCCAAATTTGTGACAACATGGTACTCAGTTGTTTCCTATCTACAATCTCAAGACAGTCTCCCCCCCTAATCCACTCTATCTTAAATGGTTAACTTTGTAGGATCGATCTTCTTCCTAATAGAAATTAAAGGAAGCGGAGATTATTCTTAAACCTCCATTCCATTTCCTCTTACCACCAGTGAAAGTTACTACTAATACTTACCTTATAGCAGTTTTTCAACTTTGGAGACACTCCTTTAGAGACTTTAAATATTGTAGTCCCCTCACAAGACCCAAGTTAGTACTGTTTTATTATGCATGATGTTATATAGTGTACTTATGTTTGGATGTACTGTATATTGTATGTTAATTAAAAGAAATTAAAATTATTTTTTAAAAATGCAAGTAAAATCAATAAAGATGAAGACTAGGGGGAACAGATAAAAGAGAAGATGGTTGGTGAGTGGGAAAGAGAGAAGACAGCAGGGAAAGGGGAGAGGATATGGAGGCTGCCAGAAGCAGAGATGGAAATAATGTAAGGAAAAGGGGATACAGGTGAAAATGAAGTGACTCCTGCATTTCTATAGGGAATTTTCAGCTTCTTGCTGACTGTGTGGTCCATATCCTTTGGAATGTCCTTATTTATTCATATTGATTTGCTGATTACAAGATTCCTCAGCTGGTTTTCCAAGAACTTCATTAAACAAAGAGATTCATGTCCCAAATATGAACTGGTTACCTAGTTCACAAAGGAATCTCGTTTTTGCCTGGAAATTTTCATAGCTAAGTCAGACATGTGCCTCCTTTTCCCCAGGCATTTGGCTACAGGTGGGGTTCTTCCCCCCCCCTTTTATGCAACCTATTGTAATTATTCTTATTCCATCTCCTCTTGATCTCTGCTATTTGTTCTTGTATTTACAGCATCTATTTTTATCACACATATATTGCTTTTCTTTATACTGGATGCTGTTTTGACTGATTATATCTCTCAAGGATTTTTTCTCTGTTTTTTTAAAATACTATTTTCTTTTTTGTATGTATCTTTGTTTCTGATATTAGCTGCCTTGAATTGCTGGGTGGCTGATGAGTGAAGAATATAAAATATATAAAAGAAATGAACTGAGAACCTCTGATTTTTGCTATGGTGGTTGGTTCTTTAAACCCATTCTAACCACAGAATCATCCCTCAGAATGTGTTGCTCAGACCTGATTGAAGTGTGACACTGCAAGAAAAAGCACTTCCCTTTGGACTTTGCACTTGCCCAGCGGCTGCTTTCCACTGGGCTGCTCCCTGTGCAAAAACAGCTTAGCTAACCAGTTGTGCTGTGCTGGGCACGAGGTGCTGGAGAGTGAGCGCTTTTGCCTCTCAGCGTCGCTTTTAAATTAGGCCTCAGCATACAGAATTCAGGGGCTCCTTCTCAGGGACAATATATGTATAGGACTCTTGTTATAACCAGGTATATGCTGTTTTGGACTTTTTTCCCCAGGCAGTGGAAGAAATGAATGGAAAAGATATCAATGGGAAAATGGTATTTGTGGGCCGTGCACAGAAAAAAGTCGAACGCCAGGCAGAACTGAAACGGAAGTTTGAGCAGCTGAAGCAAGAAAGGATCAGTCGATATCAGGTAAACAAATGTCCTCCCATATGTGGAATAATCATTAGGTGTCATCTAGTTGCAGCCATCTTATGGCGACCCCCATGGGGTTTTCAAGGCAAGAGCAGAAATGGTTTGCCACTGCCTTCTTTTGCATAGCAACCCTAGACTTCCTTGGTGGTCTCCTCTCCAAGAACTACCCGTGGCCGACCTTGCTTAGCTTCCAAGCTCTGATGGCTTCAGGCTGCTACCTGTGTGGAATACATATGCTCAGTTCTTCACTATTTAAGGAACATTCCTGTTACTCTTGTCTGTAAGTTTTAACGATTTGTATGCTGATTAATTCTAATCTTCATTCACGCTCTAATGCATTAAACAGAAGGAGGCTCTGATAATCATTTGTGTGAGAATGGTAGTTTTCTTCCACAAGGGACCACTCACTGGAATGTCTTTAAATAGGAGCAGTAGATGGCTTGTAGCTTAGGAGGAGTAGATGGCGTGAAGCTTAGGATATATCAGGAGAAGTGGGTGGGCTGGGAACTGCATCTGAATCTTTCCCTCTCCTTGCTACACAGTGCAGGCCTGGGGACATGTGATGCTAAAGCAGTACAGAGCAAATCCAGGCAGGTTTATCTTCTCTTGCAAAGAGACTTGCCTCTACAGCTCTGAAACATTTCAGCACTTTTGTTCCCAGAAGTCGATACGACATCAGCTGTTGTGTACTGACAGATCCCAAAGAGATGTTAATTCAGTTTTGCTTCTAGGTCATGGATCTTAGCAAGGCCTCCTGCACTGTTTTAACCTTGGGTGCTAATAATGTGTCCTCTGGGTTTTCCTCTTCCAGGGAGTTAATTTGTATATTAAGAACCTTGATGATACTATTGATGATGAAAAACTGAGGAAGGAGTTCTCGCCTTTTGGTTCCATCACAAGTGCCAAGGTAAAGGGTTTATGAGATTAAACAGGTACGGAGAAGAGAAGAGTTGCATAGCTGGAAGTGCTTGACCTAGGAATTCTAGAGAAATTGCACTCTTGAGTACTAATGACCAAATTATAATTACTAGGAAGTTCGTTTGTTGAACTCACTGGGATTTTGATTCCTTGCTAGAGATCAGGACACAAAACCTGTTTTGTTTATATATGCAGGTTGAAGCTAGTTGGGGGGGGGAGGGGGGGAGAAAGACCACATGGGCCTTTTTCTTGTTGCCTGGTCTCTGATGGGCTTTTGATGCTGTTATGAGAAGGCTGCACTTGAATCTTTCCCATGCCTGTCCGAACAAGTGTGGGCATGGGGACACACGGTGCTAAAGCAAAAGCAGAGGATATCCAGACGAGCCCCCTGCCTCTCTTGTTGAGGGCTTGTCTCTACACCTTAGCGACATTTGTTTTCAGCAGGCCTTTCTGCAGGGCAGTTTCCTGTGTTCTCTGCTCAGCACTTTTGTGTGAACCAGGAAGCGAGCAAAGTAGATACCTCAAAGAGGCTGAAAGTCACTGTCTGTGATGTTGCACAAGAAATGGAGATGAGCAAGGCTGAAGTTACTGGCAGGTGTTGTTGAATGAGGAGTGTTGCACATGTATGATTTGGATTATTGGTCACTCTTCTGTTCTTCTATAAGAAGGTTGTGTAGCCTTCCCCAGCTTAGATTTTAAAATATCCTGGCAGAAAAACTGGTAGATCTTCTGCTTGGCATGCACAAGGTCCCAGGTTCAGTCCCCAGCATCTCCAGTTTAAAAGGACCAGGCAGTAGGTGATGTGAGAGCTGCTGCCAGTCTGAGCTGCCAGTACTGACTTTGGTGAACCAGTGGTCTGATTTACTATAAAGTACTTTCATGTGTGTCAAAACCATGAGTTGCCAAAAGAAGGTTCATGGGTCTTTGCAGTGTTGCCCTCTATTCCTGCAGTCATCTGACCCCCGGAATGTGGGGAGGGAGCAAAATCCTACTTCTGTCTCTTCCCATCAGTGGAGCTGCACTGATGGAGAAGGCAGAAAGGGTGATTTAACATGTTATGATTATTAATCCCTGCAGGTTCGGAAGCCCCAGGAGTCTAGGATTAGAAGGGAGTTGAGGAGCATGCAGTATTCTGCTGGTGATAGTTAAGCTCCAACACCAGTTGTGGAGACTGAGAATTTACTAAAATTGGGCTGTGAAAGGTCTGTGCTGGGTTAGAGCTTATGGGGGATGCCTACCTTTGCATTGCTTCTCTTAGCTTTAGGCAAGCAATCCTTGAAAGTGGTCTTGCGTACTTACAAAGAGCTCCCTTTCCCTAGGTGATGCTGGAAGATGGTCGAAGCAAAGGTTTTGGCTTCGTCTGCTTTTCCTCTCCAGAGGAAGCCACCAAAGCTGTAACAGAAATGAATGGGCGTATTGTGGGCTCCAAGCCATTGTATGTTGCCTTGGCACAGCGGAAGGAGGAGCGGAAGGCCCACCTCACCAACCAGTATATGCAGCGCATCGCCGGGATGAGAGCTCTGCCCGCCAATGCAATCATCAATCAGTTCCAGCCACCTGCAGGTGGCTATTTCATGCCTGCGGTACCCCAGGTAAGTGCTGGGAAATTGCCTGTAGCTCCCCAGTGAATGAGTGGGTGGAGGAGAAATCTGCATTCAGAATATGCTGTTTTTGCGTTGAGATTAATATGAAAAACCTGAACTAGCAAATATAATTCAGCCATCTTTTTTTTTTTAAGATGTCAAAGCTTTTGCAGGTTGGGTAGAGGGGAATGTAGCTTTCCCGTAGGATCATGTTTCAGTATGATTGATCTGGGCATGTCTCCTTCTGTTTTCAGGCTCAGAACAGACCCACTTACTATGCACCTAATCAGATGACTCAGATGAGACCCAACCCACGCTGGCAGCAAGGGGGGAGACCTCAGGGTAAGCCTGAAGAAGCTGCTCTGGCCTTATAAAGGGAACAATATTTTGACTCTGCCCAAAGGAATGAACCAGATAACCTGGATGCTAGGGGGGCAGTCTTGAACTGGCCATTTGATGTGCAAGGGTCCTGTTGTTTCAAATCTAAATGTGTGTTACAGGAGCAAGAGCCTGCACTCCTTGAGCTAAAATTGGTACGCATTTAGAGTGCAATTGCAGATGAAGAGCTGTCCATTGGTGCTTGCTGAATGAGAGATCCTGGGCCCTGTCATGTATATTGCCACTGTTAAAACACATTGCTTGAACGACCTCTTCATTGTTTGCCAGAGCTTTTTAGCGATCTAATCACCTGACTTGCTTGCCCCTTCTTGCCTGTGGAAAATGTGGAACTGCTTCCTTTATTGTGCTTACCATTTTAAAACTCATCGCTTCATTTTCACGGGCTTCAAAATTAGAGGCCTGGTAGCTGCTGGGGGCTTGTCTGCCTTAGTGATTTATCTGCTTCCACTTTATTACATACATAGGATGGGTGTCCAGCAGCTGCCACCAACTACAAGTGCCTGGTGTCTGGGGAGCCAGGTCAGATAGTAGTTTAACTCTTGTAGGGATTGTCCTGTCCTTACACTTATTTCCTGCTCTTCACTAGGCTTCCAAGGAATGCCCAACACCATGCGTCAGTCTGGACCACGGCCTTCACTACGCCATCTGGCTCCAGCTGGTAATGCCCAGGCCTCACGTGGTCTGCCTGCTGCCTCCCAAAGGGTTGGTAAGTCACTGGACTCTGAGGGCTTTCCCCTCTGGTTTACTCGAGACAGTTCATAGGAAGGAGTCCTTGTGGGATTCCCAAATGTGAAAAATATGAACATGGCAGAAAAGATTAAGACAGATGTGGATTGTTTTATTTATTTGTTTGTTTGAATTTATTTTAGTCTTCTGAAAGAAGACATTGCACTTTTAATATGGCTGTAAGAAGAGAAGGGGAATAGTTTTAAGTTGCTGAACTATTAAATAATAAATTGCGGGTATCTACTAGCTGAGTTAATCTTGACAGGCATAAAGTCATTTGCTTGAAGTTCCTTTCATGCTTGGGAAAGTTTGCTGATTTTTATAGAATTTGTTCCGTTTTGTACCATAAGCTCCATTAGATACCATGTCTATTCTATAACAGGTGTTACCAACACTGCTCCAAACTTAGCGCCTCGACCCCCTGTGGCTGCCCAGGCTCCCAGAGCAGTTCCTCCGTACAAATATGCCTCGAGTGTTCGTAGCCCGCACCCCACGGTACAGCCTTTGCAGGTAGGACTAGCGTTTGACTGGTCACTGCCTACTTTAAACTTCAGTCATCAGAAGGATTCTGTGATGAAACTGAGAAATTTCATGACCAGCTCTTTCCATCTTGGACTTAGGATAGGGGTATGGAAATGGGACCTGGATGGCCCAGGCTAGTCTGGTTTTGTCAGACCTTCATAGCTAATCAGGGTCACCATGGTTAGTGCATGGATGGGAGACTACCATGGAAATCTAGGGATGCAGAGGGAGGCAAACCATTTCTGTTCATTTCCTGCCTTGAAATCCCTGTGGAGTTGCCATAAATTGTCTGTGATTTGGTGACAAAAAAAGGAAATGGGACTCTGTGTTGTTGAGTTCAGATCTGCTTTTAGTGGCCCCTTTGTAGGAAAGCGGCATTGTCTAATTCCAAATGAATTTGAGGTAAACAGCAATCCCTTGTGTTACAAAAATACTCCACTCTGATTTTTATGCCGAAATAATTCAGACTACTAAAAAAGTGCAGTTCAGGTAGAAGTAAGCTGCTTGGCTTCATATGGGAGTATCTGTGTGAATTGGCTGATGGAAAGCTTGTTCCACATCTGTTCTGTTTCCTTTTGAGGAAGCTACAGCCTGCTAACAGCAGCTGACCACTCCAGAAGTTCTTGATGTGCACTGGGACTTAGGCTGAGTGATGCAATGGACTGGATGGAAGTTTTCCTGGAGGAAGAACATATATTTATCTAAAACATTTCTGTGCTGCCTTTCCAATCATTGCATGGTTCCCAAGGTGGCAGCAAACATTAAAACATTTAAAAACATTTCAGACATTAAAAACATTAAAAATACAAAAACAGCAAATACAAAACATAATATTATAAAAACACATATAGTGTAGAGGGTTAAAAAGAGTTATTTTCCTGTCAAGTTGCAGCCGACGTATGGCATCCCTGTAGGGTTTTCAATGCAAGAGACATTCAGAGGTGGTTTGCCGGTGCCTGCCTCTGCACAGCAACACTGGTGTTCCTTGGTGGTCTCCCATCCGAATACTAACCAGGGCTGACCCTGCTTAGCTTCTGACATCTGACAAGATCGTTACAAGTGCCTAACCAAAAAAAGTTTTCCCCTGCCGGCAGAAGACAATAGACGGAAGCAGACTAATCTTCCTGGGGAAAGGGAGTGCCAGGATTTGGTCCCATGACCAAGAAAGCCCTTTCTTGGATTGTAAGCCTCAGGTGTTGGGGGCACTTGAAGTAGCAGAGCCTCTGAGATGACTGGAGTGATCGGGTACATTCATGTGGGTGTAGGCATGTTGGTCCCAGGCCATACAGGGCATTATAGGTTAATACCAACACCTTGAATTTGGCCTAGAAGCAAATTGGAAGCTGGTGTAGATGGAACAAGACTGTAGTTATATGGTCCCTATGACCCACTCCAGTCAGTGTACACACCATTACTGATGGAATGGTCTTAGTCCAGTTCTTTATTCAGGACATCCTTTTAGGTTTGACTACCTTGAGAGTAAATATCTGTCCAATACTTTACCTGAGTTCCCCACATACGCATTGATCAGACTTCCTGAACTAAAATTACCTTCTTCATACAGAAGATGTTCCATTTTCCTGATTACTTCTGTTGGCATCCCTTATGCCATCAAAATATGACTTGTTCCAATTTTTTGGCAATTGTTAATGGATGAATTAATAAATAATCAAGACACCTCCCCCTTTTTGCTCCATGTGTCAACTGAATTCTTCTTTGTTCTCCAACAGGCCTCGCAGCCTGCCGTTCACGTGCAGGGGCAGGAGCCTTTAACTGCTTCCATGCTGGCTGCTGCCCCTCCCCAGGAGCAAAAACAGATGCTGGGTAAGCAACTCCTTTCTGCTTCATCTTAGACTCCATAGCTCTGTTGGCATCTGGTATAAGCACATTTTGCCAACATTTGCCACCAGGGTGCAAATAATACAGTGAGCAGGGTGTGAACTCAGAATCCCAGTGCTATGATTAGAAACAATCCTGAAGGCAATAAATTTGTACAGCAGTGTGCTGTTCATCTGCTTACCTGGAGAGCTTTTTCCCCTGAAAAGCTTTAGAGAACCACCATCTGCTTAAAAACTGCTATTATTCAGGCTACGTATTACCATCTGTTTAAAATGCTAAAAGAGATTTTGGACTGTTAGTGTTTTTGTGCCATCTTGCTTTGATTCTTTAAACTGTTTGTTTTTATGTTATCAATTTTGTTGTTAATTTATATGTTGTGAGTTGCCCTGAGCCCACTTGTGGGGTAGGGTGGGGTATAAGTTTAATTAATAGAATTAATAAACTATTATTTCATGGTATTTTAACTTTGGGATTTTTCAACTCTGTGCATTGCTTTTCTGCTGCAGTCCCTTGATACGTGTTGCATAAGAACTGCAGAACTGCAAAATAGCTAATGCTTTGCTGTGGGGGGAGAGGTCTTTTTCTTCCCTATTGGTCTGGCTGTATGGGAGCCTCTGACTAATCTGAATTTTGCCTCCCCCAGGAGAACGTTTGTTCCCCCTGATCCAAGCTATGCACCTCAGCCTTGCAGGAAAGATCACAGGAATGCTGCTAGAGATTGACAACTCAGAGCTGCTGCACATGTTAGAATCTCCAGAATCGCTCCGCTCAAAGGTAATAGAGCATGGCACTGCCTGCATCTAGTGTGGTTCATACAGAGTGCCTCTTTTTGGGTAGCTTGGTTAGGTCAGATGGAAAGGTTGATTTCTTCTGTTCTCAGGTGGAGGAGGCTGTGGCAGTGTTGCAGGCACACCAAGCCAAGAAAGAAGCTGCCCAGAAAGTGGGCATAGTTGCTGCTACCTCTTAAACCAGGAAGACTGGTGAGTGGTCTGCCCAGGCTGGTTCCCTTGATTGTCACTGTGATTTGAGAGGGTCAGGCATTCTGGTGTCTTCCCTGTTACAGCTAACTTGTCTTCCTTTTACACAGAAAAACATTTGAGTACTGTTGGATTTCAGTTCTGTTGCATAAGAGTAACTTGCCTTCCTCACAGGAAAATGGAGATCACGCCAGGTTGTGTATTTGGTATTCATCACCGTATCTTTTAAAGACAAGTACTAGTATTAGCTGCGGTGGCTCAAGTGGTTAAGACGCTGAACTGCAGGCTGTGGATGGTCAGTAGTTCAGCAGTTCAAGACCCGGGTGCAAGACGGGGTGAGCTCCTGTCTCCAGTTCCAGCTCCTGCCAACCTAGCAGTTCGAAAGCAAGAAATTGCAAGTAGATAAATAGGTACCACTTCGGTGGGAAGGTAACAGCGTTCCGTGCGCCTTGGTGTTTAGTCATGCCGGCCACATGACCACGGAAACGTCTTTGGACAGTGCTGGCTCTTCGGCTTTAAAACGGAGATGAGCACCGCAACCCTAGAGTCTGATTCGACTGGCTTTCGAGCAAGGGAACCTTTACCTTTACTTTACATTTACATAGCAAGTTGGTCAGTGTTTAATTACTCATTTTAAACATTCTTTTTTAAAAATATCAGAAACATGGCATTTTAAAAACAAACCAAGTTTATTCCAGCATAAGCTTTTGTGAGTCAGACCTCACTTCATCAGATGTGTACGGCATGGAAAATCTGCACTGAGATTTTAATAACCAGTATCACAGAAGGGGATGGGGGGGCAAAGAGGAGTAGTGGCAGAGACAGACCTATTGTAAATCCTTCCGGTGTGAGTCCTTGTGTAAAGGATTAGAATGGATTTGGTAGTTACATCTAAATGAATGAAAAGGATAGAGGTTCCAGCCTCTCATGGTACCCAATGCAGGTACTCCATCCTCCCCTCTACACTTCACGTGTTTCATAAACTTGGTAAGGGAACCCCCCAGTGCCTGTGTTCTTCCTGAAGCTGGGATGAGATGGAGCATCGTGCACAGGACTTTTATGTGGAAAGAATGGGTACCTGGGAAGCTTTCCTGAAAGGAATTCTGCACCCTAAAGCATTTTTGTTAGAGTTTTGGACTGGGATCAGGGAGACCCAGGTTTGAATCCATACCCTGGAACCTTAGGGTGACTTTGGGCCAGTCACAGACTTTGAGCCTATCCTACCTTACAGGGTTGTGGTGAGGGTAAAATGGAGAAGAGAAATGTAAGCTGCTTTGGGTCCCCATTGTGGAGAAAGGTGGGGTGAAATGAAGTAAGTAAAAAATTTCTCTTTGCAGGTTGTAAAGAAGCCAAATGGGCCCCTCTCTGGAAGGCATCAGCTGAAGATGTTTAGAAATAACTTTGTCCTGCACTGATCAACCTCATGCAACATATCATTTACAAATGCCCCAGTGTGGAAATGTTTTAATATGCCTTATCTGAAAAATAAAATTCCCTTACAGCATTTGGGTTTCCAAGACTTAAATATGCAACTTTTCATTGCCATTATGAAGTTTAGTCCTTTTTTTGTCTTCCATAAGCAGGACACTGAAGTTTTCTGATTGAATGTTTTCATTGTGGTTTTGGCTTTAATTGAAAAAAATCCCATTTGCAATGCCTGGAAAGTGTTTATCAATAAAGGAATTTTAAAGAAACATCATGTCCTTGGCCAGCTTTTTCCCCCTCCTCTCTTGAGCCCTGGGGATTTATCTTTGGTGCATTGAAATGAATGGCAGCTGTGTGGTTGGTAATGGACTGTTATCAGTTTGTTCATGCTGTCCAAGTCAGCCAGTGTTGAATTCACTGTTCTGCTTTCCAGGCAGAATTCCACATAATGTTTGAATAATGCTTGATTTCACTAGTACATTTTTATTTTCACTTCATCAGGTGCATATGGGAGGGGAAGGGGCTATGGCTCAGTGGTACAGCATCTGCTTGGCATGCAGAAGGTCCCAGGTTCAATCCCTGGCCATTCCATTTAAAAGGACCTGGTAGTAGGTTAATGTGAAAAACCTGTGCCTGAGATCCTGGAAACTCACTGCTAGTCTGAGTACACAGTTCTGTCTTTGATGTACTGATAAGTCTGATTCAGTATAAGGCAGCTTGTGTACCTATGTGTCCCATCCTTCTTCCAAAGAGTTCAGATGATGCTCATCTGCAATCTTCCAGATACTTGGGAAGCCCAGACACCTTTCTGTGATTTTGACAGGGCAACTGTGACCTCTGAATGATCTGTAACACTTTGATTCTCCCAAGTATACTTTTTGAAAAGATGAACACTAACCTCTGAAAACTGCACAACTGGTTCTGCAAGCTTGAGAGGCTTTGGGTTTGTGTTCTCATCAGTGCCCCCCCCTGCAAACCACCTGCTGTTCAAAGAAAAAAGTCAAACATCTGGTGCAATTGAACTGGCGCATACCTAAACTGGCTAGCCTTCTTGTCAAACCCATCTGAGAGTTATGTCCCATTTCTCTCGTTTATCTGTTGTGTCTGTAAAGGGAGATCTTGGGATTCCAGGCTTCTCTGGCCATGCACAAGAAAAGCTGGGTTTGCTCCCCATCCCTAAGCTCAGCCAGTTTAGGCTTCCTGCACTGGCAAATCACCCCTAGCCTGAACAGATATGCTAGTGATTGCTAGGTCTGGGTTGGAAAATACTTGGGAGACTTTGGGGGTGGATCCAGGAGAGGGTGGGGTTTGGGAAGGGAAGGGGCCTCAGCAGAGTACAATGCCACCCTTCAAAGCAGCCATTTTCTCTAGGGGAGCTGATCTCAAAGATCAGTTGCAAAAGCAGATCACCAGGCCCCACCTGGAGGCTGGCAACCCTAGTTATTGCCCTTTTAAAGGATTTTTTTTTAAATTTAAATCTGTTGGTTATTTATAGGCTGCCCTTTCCACTAGAACTCAAGACGGATTATATACTGTAAAAGCTATAGTTGAGTGATACAATAGTAAAGCGATGCTTATAAAACACTGCACCCAGAAAATGCTGCGTCGCACTCTCCTGTTCCTGTACACGGATAGCTGAGGGCCGTACATATTCCCGGCCTTGGGCTGATGCTACAACTCCAAGGCCCGTCTCAACCTTCCTCCCCAGACGCCTCCTGCCGTTTCATCTGCCCTGCTCGCGTCTCTAAACGCTGCAAATAAGTTTACGGGGCCCTTCTCCAGCAGAAGCAATGGCGGTGGCTATGCATCACATGTGCTGGTGGTTTCGGTATCATGCCGAACGGGCCGATATAGCAGCTCTCCATCCGCGCCGGGGCAGAGTTTGCAGGCGCGTCGACTCCACACTGTAGCGACTGGAGAGCAAAGGAATTCACCGATCAGCCACGTGGGTACCCCCTGAAGCTGGGGAAGGAAGAGGTTCCGGGGCAGAGGGCGGCGCGGGCGGTTGTGGGAAAGGCGCATGGCTTCCACTAAGAGAGTTTTGTATGTCGGTGAGTAGGGAAACCCAGGAAAGAGACGCGGAAGGGGTCAGCGGAGCCCAGAAAAGGGGGGGGGGGTTAGTCCCAAAGCCGCACGTGACTGTCTCAGCCCTGTGAGGGGGGCTGACCAGTAAGAGGGTTCCGAGGGTGTAATTCGGCTTCATAGCTGACCCCAGCCTAGCCGACCTCACAGGGCTGTAGAGAAGGTAACGGGGATGGAATGAGCCGCGTGCGCCGTCCTGATCTCCTGAAGGAGCGAGCGAGGGTAGGTTATGCCCCCCCCCCCGGCTTAGCTGAGTGTTGCCTTGGATCTGGTGGGCCTTGAAGAACCATGGGGTCGGAGAGGTGCTTCCTCGTGGTTCTCGCCCCCCTGTTAGGATCCAGGGAAAGGCCAGAAGGAGTCACTGGTGGAGGCACGTCAGGGCAGCCTTCGTCTCCTGGCTTTCGGGAAGGGTGGTGGTGGAATGAGTCCCACTTTGAAGGTGTACTGCCCTGTTGCTACACCTGCATAATGCCCTCTTCCGTCCAGGAATCAGCATCTCAGGTATATAAGCCGAAAGTTAAAATAAAGTAAAAAATAAAATGCTTGTTCATGTGCGGTTGCTGAGGGCCTAGCATAAGTAAGCTGTTGAACCTGTGCAATGGTGCACAGGTGAGCTCTTCTGCTCTGCCACCCTTTTGCTCCTTGGGGCTTCTGTAAAGCCGTTACATGCATTGATTTATACTGCTAGATGCCAGGTACAGATTCTGTATCCTGGCTTTTGAGCAATAAGGGTTTCAGTTGTATTCCCACCCTTTTGAAGCTCAGGTGCCTGTGATAATGCTACATGGATAATTAGTGTTGAGTGTGATGTGTTTTCTGTGAGCAGGTGGGCTTGCAGAGGAGGTGGACGAGAGGGTGCTCCATGCAGCCTTTATTCCCTTTGGTGACATCACAGATATCCAGATCCCTCTGGACTATGAGACAGGTGAGCTGTGCAAGATTATATAATGTAATATAAACATTTCTTCTAAAGTTTAAGCTATTTTCTGCCCTTCCTTCCTGTCGTCTTGCTTTTATCGTCTCGGGGTGGTTTGAGTGCTGCCGTTCCCAATTCTGATTCAGATTATACTTCTGAGGTGCCATCTGCAGATGTTTCGTGGCTTAGAGGTGTGAGGCATTGCCTTCAGTTGGTACTAAAGGAAGAAATTCTTTCTCTATATGTTTTAAGTAAACTGTCTTTCTTTGCCAGTGTGTTGCCAGTTAGGACTGGCCTGCTCCCATTCCGACAGGGCTGTTCATTCTTTCAACTGAATCTTGTTTTCATTCCCCTGCTCTGCTTATTAATACAGTACACAGCACCTCTTGGGTAGCATTCTGGCCTCATTTCCACTCCACCCCCCTTTTTTGTAAAATGTGGGTAATTTTGCCAACTGAGAATAATGCTGATGTATTGGGAAAAGTGGGCCCCAAAAAGCTTCTGTCTTTTTTGCTTTTGTTTGTCTTCTGGAGGATGAAGGAGATAAGGGTTTATAGAGAGGTACAGACCTAAAACTTGATTTTGTACTCCACTGGCTTAAGAATTTGGGCTGTGTTTTTCCATAATTCGGGATCAAGAGGGAGAGATCCACAGTGTAATCAAATACTCACAGGAAGCACCTGTGAAACTGCAGCTGGATTTATAGATTAATGATCACATGAATAAATGATCAAATGAGGGTGGTTTTGTGCTGCTGTATAATTACTGTTCTGCAGTTTGGAAATGCAACTGGGACTGTTATTCCACCTGCTACTTCATACGGCAATATATTCCCACTAAAGTTCATCCCAGTGAGCAAACTCCTACCTTGTATCTGTTTGTCCCATTCTGCAGAGTTCCTAGTCTGTACTGTAATTTCCTTTCTGTTCCATTGATTTCCAGCTATTTACATTCTCTGGGCTTACCAGATCTGTCCCTGCCCTCGCAAATCAGTGGTTAATTATAATTTTTTGGGGGTGGAGGCTTGTTTTTTATTTTTTAGCCAGCCAGAGTCACAGCTCATTATTTTTTTAAAAAAAAATTAAATTGTATTGTTTATGTTTGATCATTAATAACCATTCTTTTATGTAAGGGCTATGGCTTTGCCAAGGTACATACAAAGTGTAAAATAAGAATTAAACTCAGTGAGACCTGGTAATTTGTGATTGATTAACAAATGCCAAGAGAACCAGGCAGTCTGAGGGTGAACTGGAAATCCTGAGAAGGCTTACTAGGATTTTGACTGTTCACATAGCATTGCAATCAGGTTTTAAGTTGGGGAGGGGAGCAAGTCTGAAAAAGACAAGAGGTCAGTAAGGAAGATGACAATCTGCAACGGGTTGCCAGCAACATCATCTGAACTCTCCATTAAAATGAAGTGAATGATTTGTGGCACTTCCAGACTCAGTTTCTAGTCTTTGAGCCTCACTGGACGTAGGGAGAGGCAGGCTAGAGGTATTCTAATAAATAAATTAGGTAGAAGGTAGATCATATTTTCCCCGGAAACAATTCCTTCATATCAATATGGCTGGTCAATTACTGTGCCATACCTGCTAGAAGGTTTCATGTGACAAAAGAGGAGGTACAATACTCCATAGGTGGGCTAAAAAATCTTCATCCTGTAAGTAGTCTTTATTCCTTTGCAAAGCTGAAAAATAATATTGTTATTTCACAGTCCACAGTCTGTACCCTGTATTTTTGCCCTGACTTGTTTGAGCTTGGAAGCTAAGCAGGATCAGCCCTGGTTATTATTTGGATGGGAGACCACCAAGGAAGTCCAGGGTTGCTATGCAGAGGCAGGCAGTGGCAAACCACCTCTGCTCATCTCTTCCCTTGAAAACCCGACAGGGTTGCTGAGACTTGATGGCACTTTCCAACACCACTCTGCATTTACGTGTGGTAATTCCACTAATGACTTAATTACATTGTCCAGGCATTTTGACTCCAAATTAGGAAAAATGTGTGAAAATTATGTTCCCCCTCCCAAACAGGCTGTGTGCAAAAATCTGTTGTAGCCTTGTGTTTTTTACGTGCATCCTGCAAAAATATAAAGGCCATTTTGTGTCTTAAGTGAGCGCCCCTAAGTGGGTCTTTTCAAAAGTAAGTCTCTCGTTCACTGTGGCCTAGCTCCAGGCAAGTGCCCTTGGGGTGGCTTGCATCAGTGGGGCGGGGGGGTCGGGTCTGAATCCCCTGAGAGGAAGTCGCTGCTGGGTAAGGGAATGAAAGCCCCTGGCTGAGTACATTCTCCTTGTTCACCCAATGGCCAAAAAACCCACCTTAGAATTCCGAGGCTCTCTCTTTGTTCAGATGCCATGACAGTTCTCGCTAAACAGCTTGGGGATCACCTGCCAGACATTTGATCTTGGAGATTTAACTCTTGTTGTCTAAAGGAATATAACTTATGTTATAATAATTTGGGAAATTAAGTTCTAGTCCATCCGTCCCCCCGAACTAGAGGGGTGTGTAGCAGGGCTTTACTGCTGAACGGGCTGTGCTTTTCATAGCCACCTTGTATACATGTTTGCATGTAGAGAACTCAAGTCTCCTTTTTTATCTCTCTGTCTCTGCAGAAAAGCATCGTGGCTTCGCTTTCATTGAATTTGAACTGGCTGAGGTGAGGAGCAGCCAAGGGCAAGTCTGGAGTTGGCTTTCCAAGTCCATGTTTCTTCATCTTTTTTCCACCCTCCCATCCTTCCAATTAATTAGTGGTGGGGCTGAACAGGAGAAGGCTGCTGACTTGGGTGGGCTTCAAGTTTAAAGAAGCCTTGCTGGGGGGGGGGGGGAATAAACCGCAGGGCTTTTAGAGGTTGGGGAAATTTCTCTTGGATTTTTCTATTGGTAAGTTCACAGTTGATGGAGTGCATTGGGCAAACCATTAGTAAAACCTCATGTGGACATGCTTTTGGGCAGAAGCCAACACTGTTAGAGAGGTCACCTTCAGCACCTGTGTAGGAACTCTCACAATCAGATGGATTAGAGTTGGAAGGGAACTTTGAGGCCACTTAGGCCAGCCCCTGCTCAGTGCAGGAAGACACAACCACAGCATTCCCGAATCAGGGCTCTTGCCCATTCCTGGTGCCCAGGTTTGATTCCAGGCCACAGTTGTTTCCAGTTGTGACAAAGGGAGCTTTGAGTCTGGAAGGCTTGCACCCTGGAAAATCCAGTTGGTCTTTAAGGGGCTACTGGACTTGAGTCTTGTTCTTCTGCTGCAGACCAACCTGAGACTCAATTATTTCCATGTTAGCTGTGCAGTGTTGGCTCCAACCAGCTTTACCACTGGTAAGATAGGGAGGGAGGGGGGTTCCCTTTGAACACCAAAAAGTTTCTACTGGGGATTATAAGACTCATCAACAAAAACTATGTGGGATGGAAGGTATGCTAAGGAGGGGGGACTGGGCAAAACTGAGTGAAAAAGTTATCCATCACTCAGTCTGGAGTTTCCATATGTCAGTCACTAAGTTTGAACAAGGAATCTGGGTACTCTTACCAGCAGCCCATTGCATTCCAGTAATTCCTCTTGTCTCTGGCTCACAGGCTGCAGGTTTGTACCCTGAAAGGCAGGCCATAGACAGGGAAATGGAAGCTCATGCTAGGTCTCCCGCAGTTGGCAGACAGGCTGCCCAGAGTCTCCGCCTCTGCCAGGGCTGGGCCTCAAGCCCGCCTCAATGGCTGAGTGGCCCAGTGCCTGCCATGCTTCATGCCATGGCTTTTAAAAAATTCTAGCACTGAACTTGGAGGACAGGAATTTTTTCCCCAGTGGCATCTTGGATTCCTGGGAACCTGACAAGTTAGTCTGATTGGCGGCACTACAAAGCATCTTCCTGATTGTTCCTCCTGGGAGCCAGTGGGTATCTTCTGTGGGCTGGGAGTTCTGAGCTGTGCTCAGCTGAGTAGGGGGATGCCTGGCAATCCAACATTGTCCTCTTTTTCCTTTTAGGATGCCGCAGCAGCAATCGACAACATGGTAAGTCCTTCTTTTGCTCAATTTTATGGACGGCCCCAAAGTCCACTTTGAGTTCCCTGCCCTCAGTTGTGGTAGAAGTAGGCAAGCAAGGAGTCACTCAGGCCAAAGAAACAGGCATTTAGTTCAGCATCCAGGCCCTGCTGAGTTTGGGGTTTCAAGCCCTGGGGGATTGGGGGGGCTCCATTTACTAATTTGGCACACTACTGAACCTGACAGTGCAGTCCTGCTGGTCCCTATATTGTGTGGTGCCTGGCTTTGTGACTTCAAAGCTGCACAAGATTAGTATGTGAATCACTGCAAGAGGCATGTAATTGGATGAGCTGGGTGGAAATCCAAAGTGGCCTTATGCAGAGTCTGACCCTTGGTCTCTCCAGCTCCCTGATTGGTCACAGCTCTCCAGGGTCTCAGGCAGAGAACAGTCTTTCCAGCATTTGCTGCCAGAGCAGAGGCCCTTTAACTGGGGAAGCTGCCAGGTGTTGAACCTGGGGGCCTTGCTGCCCTAGCACTGAGCTGCAGTCTCTCCGAAGAATAGACTCCCGTGAGCAAATGGTTAGCACTTGAAGGGTCAAGGGATCTGATATAACAGTCCTCTTGGGAGCTGGAAATGGAGGTTGAAGCGTTTCATTTCTCTGTTTCCTCTTGCTCAGAATGAATCCGAGCTCTTTGGAAGGACGATTCGCGTCAACCTGGCCAAACCCATGAGGATTAAGGAAGGATCCTCCCGGCCAGGTGAGTCCTGTGATGGCCTGTCCGGCATTTTTATCCCACCTAAGGAGTTTGAGGTGGCATACAGACTGTGGTCTAGTGGTTAGCGTTTTGGACTAGGATATGGGAGACCCAGGTTCAGATCCCCACTTTGCCAGGGAAGCTCGCTGGGTGCCCTTAGGGCAGTCACACACTCTCAGCTTCATACCTCACAGGGTTGTTATGAGGATAACATGGAGTAGAACGATGTAAGCCATTCTGGGGTCCACAGGGAGAAAGGTGGGTAGGGTATAAATTGTTAGATTCACTGATATGGTATAGCCAGGAAGCTCTATTAGGCAGCAGAGTGTGTGAGGCTTACAAGCAGCAGCAGCTTCTTGGTACTGTGTGTGCTAGCAAAGTTACAAAGTTACAGGAGCCTTTTGTCAGTTTCAAACTAATACCAGTCCTTTATTTAGGGAACCAGGTTCTAGATTGTATAGGTGAGAGATCGGGATAGAATCTGATCTAAATAGCTATGATGAATGCAGATGGAGAATGCATGTCCTGCATCATGGTGCCAAAGGCTCCTCCTGTGTGTGTGTGTGAGTGTGTGTGTGTGTGTGTGTGTGTGAGAGAGAGAGAGAGAGATCTGTTAAGCCAGAAGGAAGGGAAGTCTTGTCCCTAAGAACAGCATTCTAATTCAAAAGGATAGTAGCAGATAGCAGGAAAGAAAGGATGTTCTGTATGTGTCCTGACTTCTCTGTCTCTAAATCTATGGTGCTGCTTCTGAAGTCTGAGACAGGAGACAGCGTATCAAACATAAATTAAGGGAATAAGTAGTTATCCCCTCTTCCATTTCACTGATACAGCAATCCTGCTTAATGGATTTAGGCTGAGAGAGTCACTGGCCCAAGATTGGCCCAGGGGCATCATGGTTGAATGGAGATTTGAACCTGGGTCCCCCAGGTCTTAACTTGACATCCTAACCACTGACCACACTGGCTTTCGTAAAAGTCATCAAGTCTATCCCCTGGTCCAAGGAGGACTCAAATGGGTCAATCAATGTGATAGTAGCATGTTGTGTTACAAGGGTGTGATCATCAGTTGGGTTTTTGCCGAGCAAATCCCTCTGGATAATTTTATGCTGTAGTCTAGATAGGGTTACCAACCTCCAGATAGGGCCTGGAGTTCTCCCAGGTTTACAACTGATTTCCAGACTTTGGAGGGTGAACTCTATGGTATTACTGTCCCCAAATATCCAGGAAATTGCCAACTTGGAGATGGCGATTTCCCTTTTTAGCTGTCCTTGGGATTCTGCAAACATTTTACCCCGTGGATGATGTTTGTTTTTGAGTTGTACCTAAGACAGTTTTTCAGTTGTACCTCTCGCTGCTCTGTTTTATTTTGGTGGTTTTTCCTGTCCTCTTTTTTTTCCTGAATACCTTTTAATTTTCCTTTTGCAGTCTGGTCAGATGATGACTGGTTGAAAAAGTTTTCTGGGAAGACACTTGACGAGAATGTGGAGGAAGAAGGGGCAGAGCCTGCCAGAACAGAGGCCCAGGAGGTATCAGGGAATGTTCCTTGACTGGGGGGCGGGGGGGAGGAATATGTGCTGCTGCACAGGACCTGCCAGCCATGGGACATTGCTCTGGGGGTGGTTTAGCACCCTGTCCCCCACATGCTGCAAAATCAGCCAGTGCCGTCTCTACCTATGCATGCCAGGCTGGATGGCTGGTGTCCCAGATCAGAACAGGGGTATCCCATGTCATACCACCACCATAAGGAAGATTTACTGAGCTCCCTGGCAGAGCATTAAAGCTACAAGCAAAGAACTGCTGCAGCTCCATACAGAATTGCCCCTGGAGGTCACTGCAATGGGGATGAGGGTGGCAATGCCTAGCATTTTCCTAGCTCTTCAGGATGTGCAGAAGGCTTCATCCTGGCCAAGGTGAACATTAACTGTGGAAGTTCTTTTTCTTCCCCTAGGGCGAGCCTCCGGCAAAGAAAACAAGGGTGAACCCTCAGGTTTACATGGACATCAAGATTGGCAATAAGCCTGCTGGCCGCATAAACATCCTCTTGAGATCGGATATTGTACCCATGACCACAGGTAAGGGCAGACTTTCTTTTGCCTGGGCAATGTTCCACTAGGCCTGCACAGACCTAGTGGTGCATGCGCTCGCACACACAAAATATCACACTGATGAAGAAGAAGAGAAGAAGAAGAGATTGGATTTATACCCCGCCCTTCACTTGGAGTCTCAGAGCTGCTTACAAGCTCCTTTCCCTTCCCCTCCCCACAACAGACACCCTGTGAGGTGGGTGGGGCTGAGAGAACTCTGACACAAACTGCTCTTTTTCAAGGACGGCTGTGCCAGAGCTTGTGACTGACCCAAGGTCACATCAGCAGGTGCAAGTGGAGGAGTGGGGAATCAAACCCGGTTCTCCCAGATTAGAGTCCGCACACTTAACCACTACACCAAACTGATGGAAGGTCTCTAAATACAGTCAAAGTTTTATTATGCGGCACTTGCATGAAATCAGGTGGGCAGTTAATCAAATGGGCTGGATGCTGAAACTAATTGCTCTGCTCCACCCCCAACCTGAAGCAGCCAACCCGCCCTTCCTAGGGAGCACTGTGGCGACAGCCCCCATGCCTGCTGGAGCCTCTTCCTGCCCTCCCAGCCACAGAGATGTCCTGCGTAGCAGGCAAATAAGCGGGAAGCCTCTAGCAGAGCCAGCTCCAGACAGCTTGAGGCAGGCTGAGGGGGAAAGGAGGTCCCGGAGGATGGTGCAGCTGTCAAAAAGCCCAGCAGAGGCTGAAGGCCTCAGACTGAGTGGTTGGAGTGGTGAGGAAGGGGAGACTCAGGATAGGGTGGCTGTGGGAAAGGAGTGGCAGCAGTCAAGTGTGTGTTCTGGATGATCAGGTGCCATACAGGAAAGCTTTTTACCTGCTTTCTGAGGCGGGATCCCCTTGCCTCCATCAACCTCGGACCTTATTGCTTCACTAAGGAGGACTGACTCAGATAGGAAATTTGTTGGATGTTTTCAATATTGAACTGACACCAGAGATATTTTGTATACTGTTCTTCATTAAGATTGAAACATTTGATAAAAATTAACAAGTTATTTTAATAAATTCTTCATTATTATCTTCACGGGTTTCTGGTCTTTTGCTAGTTTTTCCATACTGCGAATCTCCAAGTTTTGCTTTGGCTCTCCTCAGCCCTGGAAGCTCCATTGATAGCATGCTGTGAGCAGAACATTGATTTGAATTTGTTGTGATCAGAGCTCATATGCGCTCCTCATTTCTGTGGTATCCTTTTTGCCCTGTTCCCTGAGGAGCATTATCTGGGCAGTAGGTTATACATAGAACTGTCCTTCTCCCCTTCTCTCTGTGAAAAATCAATATTTGAAGGACCATCTCCTTCTGCATGTCCCTGTGCACTAACTGTGGTCTTCAGGCAGCCATTTGGTTGGCTATCACACCGCTTAGGGTGGCTCAGCCAGCATCAACCACAGCCTGGGCCTTTTCCATCATGGCTTCTGTGGGATGGGCTTCTTGAAGAGGTGAGGTGAGTCCACTCCTTGAAGATCTTCAGGAGGCACTGCAAGTCTTTATTTTATTTTTTGGCCAGGGCTTCTGAGGGGGTTTTAATTGTCAGGCATCTTTTAAGGTGTGGAGGGAGGGATTTCGGAGTTTATTTGGTTTTAACTTGATTTTTTAAAACTGTTATTGTAAGGGGCCTTGAACCACAAGGAAAGGTCAGGTATAAATGTTCTAATAACTAATATGACAGAACAGTCTTGAAGTATCAGAAGGGACTCTCTCAAGTGAAGTACCTCCATAGTGGAGATAGCCCATGGAATGCTGGGTTGCTGTCTTCTTCTGCTGTGTCCTTCTGGGCTCTGACACTGTTCCTCACATTCCCTTGAACCGTAGAGAACTTCCGCTGTCTGTGCACACATGAGAAGGGATTTGGCTTTAAGGGGAGCAGCTTCCATCGTGTGATCCCCCAGTTCATGTGCCAAGCTGGCGACTTCACCAACCACAATGGTACAGGGGGGAAATCTATCTACGGGAAGAAATTTGATGATGAAAACTTCATTCTGAAGCACACGGGGCCAGGTAAGGGTGCTGTGAGAGTTCTGCATTGCAGGCGATTTGGAGGGACCGGGCAGTTGTTGGGAGCTCAGAGTTGGGTCAGGGTGGAGGCAGCTTGGCTGAGCCCCACACCAAGTCAGAGCGTGCCCCATAGCATGGTGGATCCTCCATTTTCCTTTTCTCAAGGGACTGTGAGCAAAGAAAAGGTTTGAAAAATTCTTGAAGGAATGCCTGTGGGATTCTAATGGGGTGTGTTTGTGTATTGTAGGCACACTGTCCATGGCCAATTCCGGCCCCAACACCAATGGATCTCAGTTCTTCATCACTTGTGATAAGACTGATTGGTTGGATGGGAAACACGTTGTGTTTGGAGAGGTCACGGAGGGGATGGATGTGGTGCGGCAGATAGAGGTCAGTTTTCTACAGAAGCTGCTTTTGATCATGACGCTTCACATTCAAGTGTTTAAAGCATTTCATGCAATTTACCTTGTTGCTATCCTTACAACAACCCTGTACAGTTAGCATCACCCTAGTATTGCAGATGTGGGGCTCAGGCTAATGAGTTCACGGCAGAGGTAAGAGTCAGGACAAAAAAGGGGGGACCCTTGTGTAAGAATATCTCAAAATACCAAATTAGCAAACACCGGGTACAAACTGTATACTATGGCCCCGGTCACATGGAGCATTAGGCACGCTAGAGAGACGGAAGATAGGCGGATTTTCCAGGCGTGATCTCACCGCCACATCTGGGAAGCGTAGAGCTCCCGTGCCGAACCCGAGGCTTCCCGCCGAAGATGCGCGGTTAAAAACTAGTACCTCGGAGGTACTAGTTTCCGGTAACCGCGGGGCAGGGGCAGCCGTCTGATCGCGTTTCCGGTGGTAGTTCCGGCGCCCGCACATGCCCCCTCGTATAAAGGGTTTTTTTCCCCAACTGTCCATGGGATGCGCACACTTTGGTGTCCGGAGAAAAAAACACCAGTTTGCCGCGCCGCTTCTTTGCCATGGCGCAGGATTGTGGTGTGCTCAGCACCTCCCCCCTACCACAGGACCTCCATGGGACCTCCACGATACGTCTGCTCGCGCAACCACACGTTATTTTGCCCCGGGGCAAACAGCCATGCTTCCCCCCCGCATTTTCCTGCCCGTGTGCCAGCAGACGGGCTTGGGTGTGCCTATGGCTGTCATCCACTATTCAAACAATTGTAGAAATAATTTTGTATTCTCTACTGTTTTAGATATCAAAATATCCATAAATTGCCATGGTAATTCAGTACATAAAATATACAGGTAATTTACAAGAAATAATAACTAGTTTCACTGAAATAGCTTGCACCCACAAAAGCCTCAGTGTTTAAATAATACTTTAAAAAAGCACATTCAAGCACTAAAAGATGCGCAGTCTGTGTAGATTCTCAATTGGAGGAAAATCACTCACTCTCAGAGAATCCAGCGATCTAGCCCGGATTTACAGCACATTTCAGCACTTCTTCCTCAAGGCCTCAACAGAAGTATCTCTCAGAATAGGTCGGAACCCATGTCTAAACCCCCATTTTTAAAGGAGTTCTTTTCATTCTAGAAATAATGGCATTCAGCCTTCACTCTCCCTCAAATCTTGACAATAGCCGAGCATACCATGCTTTGGAGGAAAGGCCCGTTACAAATGCACTAGAGAGATTTCCTGAGTCGTTCCAGTCTCTTAGCTCCTGGGTGGCCCCAGCTCTCTCTTGGGGACGTTTCTTTCTGGGCTTGGAGATCCAGCTTTATGTCTCTTCCCTTCTCTCTTTCCTTTTATATAGGCTCAAGGCGCCAAAGATGGAAAACCAAAGCAAAAAGTGATAATCTCAGACTGTGGTGAATATGTGTGAATTGTTGCGCGGGGGGGGGGGGGGGGGGGGGCAGAAGGAACAGGGCTGAGAGGAAAGAAGGTGGTCCCTGCTGCCTAAACAGCTTCTTGGAGCCCTTCATGCACTATGGGAGCAAAGCTGAGGCCTGCTTTACTCTGAGGCAGGAGGAGTCCCTAGACCAAGCAAGACCCGTGTAAATATTCAACCCATGTGTAGGTGTTGTCCTCATTCGGAATAGCAAATTTGCCAGAGCTGTGTTTTTTGTACTGAACTTAACCTGTACATAAAATAAATTGTAGATAATCTTTTTAACTGGATTTTCCTGTCTCTAGTCAAATAATTGGCCATCTAGGAACCTTTATGTTAACAGCAGTTTTAAACTGCATAGAGGGGTATGCTTTAGGTTAGAGATCAGAATATCCTAGTCAACTCTAGGCAATCATAGTGCCTTAAGGGTGTGTTTTATATATTTTCTCACTGGATCTGCTAGAAATCCTCTTTACAGATGCTTTTTGAAAATCTAAGCTGCTTGCCAAAATCCCAAATGTGCAATGGAACTGTGGCTTGCCTGAAGACACACAGGGAGACTGCTGGTAAATACCTGCTTTTCTTCTTGCAAGCAGGGGCGCTAAAGAATTTGCCCCCACCACAGTTTACTCATGATATCGGCATGCTTAATGCCAACCCGCTTCAACCGTGGTCCTGACTGGGGAGGGGGGCATCCTAAACCATCAATTAGATATACAGCTGCAGCTCTTGATCGTGGTTTAGGATCCAGCTTCTGACTTTGCAGCCATCCCAGACTCAAACTCAGCTGCTTTCAGGCACTGTGTCCAGCTATAGTTTAGTGGAGGGGCTGTGGCTCAGTGGTAGAAGACCTGTTTTGCATGCAGAAGGTCCCAGGTTCAGTCCCTGCCATCTCCAGTTAGAAAAGCACCAGGTAGTAAGTCATGTGAAAGACCTCTGCCTGAGACCCTGGAGAGCCACCGTCAGTAAGATGACACAGTATTGACCTTGATAAGACTGAGGGTCTGATTCACTGTAAGGCAGCTTCATGTGCATGTCCTGATTTGTCAGGCGCAAGCATGGCTTTTTGGTATACACCCCTGCATGCCTCTTATCCCCCCCCCCCCCCCCAGAGAATGAAACCCATCTTCAGTTGCCTATGATGTCTGAATGCTGTCATCTGAGCAGGCCCGTAGCCAGGATTTTGTAGAGTATCCCGCTGGAAGCTGAGATCCTAAACCAGAGTTAAATCCCAGTTTTATGGGACAAACCAGTTTTCTCAGATGCTTCCATTAGGACCTTAAGGGGAGCGGTGGCACAGGGGATTTATCCTCTGGTTAAACAGCTGAGCTGAACAGGACTGCTGTCAGTTCAAGCCCCGCACTGGTGTGAGCTGCCAGTCCGTGTCCCTAGTTTGCCGTCCACCCAGCGGTTCGAAAGCTTTGGCGAGTAGATAAAATGGGTACCACTCCTTAGAGAGAGTGGGCACACTAAACCCCCCCGGTGGGGGTTGTGTTAGCCGATCGGATGGTCTGCGCGTAAGATCCGAAAGCCAAGAAAGATCTACACAGAGTCGAAGAAAAGCCTGCAATAGGCCATTCGCCCAGACGGTGGCAGTGGTGCGCTGCGACTGAGATAATGCTGACTACATCAAGCAACGCCGAAAAAAAGGAATGCTGCCAGAACACGTCTGGACCTTACAGCCGACCAAACTCCGTCGACTACGAAATGTGTGTGATTTAAATTATATATGTTGTCTTCCCTTACCACCAGCATTGTTAGTCCCATGTGAAGTTCAGGAGTAACTGTAAATCGCTCAGAGCCGGCAGCTCTGCATGGATTGAGCGATCAATAAATGGAAATATCATCGTCGTCGACCACCACCACCACACCCACACGGTCTTTTGCATTCTGAATGAGAAGACAGGGGTAGTAGGGTTGCGAACTCTGACTTGGAAAGTTCCTGGAGATTTGGGGGCAGGGAGCTGGGAAAGGGGCGTTCAGTGGGTCACGATGCACCAGAGTCCACCTTGTGACGCTGCCATTTTCCTCCAGGGGAACGGATCTTTGTAGTCTGGAGATCAGTTGTAATTCCAGGAGATCTCCAGGCCCCACCTGGGGATTTATAGCCCTAGGTAGGGGTGAGAGGAGCATTTGGGTCCACAATGGCAATTTGGAAACTTACCGTGATGCCTGGATGTTAAGGCTGTGCAAATTCCATTGGTCATGTGATGAGGTGCCCTTCCAGACACCAACAGGTGGAAGCGGTTGCAGCAAACTTCTTGGGGGAAATTGGTGCTGGATCTTTCGAAAACTCCCCCCCCACACACACACCATATGGATGAGATCCTCCAGGGGGCAACAAAACTGAGCAGCTGGTACACAGGCACGCCCTTTCACCTCTTCCGTTATGGGATCCAGACTCCAGACCCATAAAAGGTGATGGACAACCTTGTGCCTGGAAAACCAGGAAAAGAATGCAAATGTGGGGGGGGGGGGTGAAGGGAGTCTGATGGGTGAGCATCTTATTGTCCAGGAATGTTAGCTTTCTCTTCGTTTGCTGGCCCTTACCTGGTTTCCTGACCTTGATGCTTCACTCTCTCTCGTTCCCTGGGAACCTGTAGTCATTTCTTTGCACGCATAAGGCTAGCACCTCTGATTGGCCTAACTGTCAGAAGACCTCGCTTTGAATGTATAACTTTTCCCCTCCCGCCTGGTGGGTTAGCCTTTGCACAGGATGTCTGTACAGATGACCTACTACTAAACTCAATAAACCTGATCCTTCCAAGGAACGTTGTTGAGCCTGAGTGCTGTGGGACTCTGACAGAATCTTTCCCACAGGATGTTACATTGCCTCCAACCTAAAGTGGCCTTTGAAGAAGAAGAACTAGTCAAGCTCAGGGTCTACCACAGAGTGCCAGAAACAGAACCTCTTTGTCCAGAGGCAGTATACCTTTGAAGATGCAATGCTGGGCAAAGCCTGTTGCCTCGAGGGCCCCACTGGGTGCGATTCCAGAAGCTTTGCATTGGAAAGCGAATGCTAAGCTTGAGGGACACTTTGTTCTGCCCCAGTAGAGTTCAGCTGTCCTCTTAGCCTGGCTTCCATGAGAACTGATGCACAAGAGGGGGGATGCAGGGAGAACGCAGAATGGCAGGCCTGGGTGGTGCCGTACATCTAATTGTGGGGTGTGTGTGTGGAGGAACAGGCTTTTTGGCTAGATGAAAAGAGGAGACGCGGGAAAGACAAGCCAATGATGTCTGGAAATGTTGAGGCTTTTGCACAATCTTCTGCCCTGTGGAGAGAGCTGGGAGGGCAGGTGTGGGAACCGTCAAGTACCCCTTTGCATTGGGGTGCCTTGGACCATTTAGAGGGGGCGAGTGCAGTTATTCTGGTGAGGGAGTGGGAGAGTTGCCAAATGGTTCCTGGTTCTGCGTAGGAAGGGCACAAGGAACCCCTCTGGCTGAGCCAGGGAGTCAGGCAAGCTTGTTTGCCAGGGAGACAGTGTGCAAATAGTTCCCATGGGTGGAGGGGTTGCTGTAAAGAGGGTGCAGGCCTGTGGTGTAGTGGTTAGCGCGTGAATGTTTATTAGCTGATAAGCACCAGAAAGTAACAACTGGGCCAGCAACTTGAATTTAGCATTGTCACACACTCCACTCATTTTTGTTAAATTCCATGTTGTCAGTTGTTTTCATAATTGTAAGTTAACTGGCTGTATCTCTCTGTCCTGTCTATTCCTCTTTCCTGTTAAAGCCAATGGCTGGTGGGAATATATTTGCATAAATTAAAAAAGAGGGTGATTGACACTTCTTCCCATCTTTGGTTTTTATCTGATGAAGAGCAAGTAGCCCGAGCTGTCTTTGTGGAGGACCCAAAGTGAACGTTCACCTGCTCTTTCCGGAAGGGGATATGCCCTTGTACAAGTGCGGAAATGGAAACCATTTGGTATGATTTAATTAATTGCCCTTTCTATGGCGATTTTAGGTATGCTTTTATTACTCTCATCCTTCAAAAAAACCCTGATATAGCAGAGGAATCATATGCTTCCTGTCTTCTCTATGACCATGATCCTTGGATTATGGACAAAACCGCTAGATTTTGTGCAGTTGTGATTTTGTGCAGCTGTGACTTTACCATAGTGCTGTATTGATTTAATGAATTATATTGCTATTTTTATATCATCTGTGTAAATATTTTTGGTGTTGTGTATGTTACTGTGCTGGTCTATGACCGTAATAAACAATCCACTCATTCACAGGGTGATGCAGAGTTGTGAAAATCTCCTCCTGTGGTTTTTATTCTTTTTTTTTAAATAATTTTTAAAAAGGGGGGGAACGAGAAGGGGAAAACAACTCAAAACTCAGTAACATTTTTAAAAAGAGGGAGGGGGAAAATCCTGCAAATATAAGAGTGGAAATAAAAGCGTAACACTGGTGGAAGATTTACACATCAGCTTTTATAAAAGGTTTCCAAATATCTAAAAATAAGTCCATATGCAATTGTCCTCTATATGCCACACACTCAAATATTGATCAGGTCCTTGACCCACTGATGCTTATGTACTTTTCTACCACCTGCCCATCTCTTGGAGGCTAGCTGATGGTCAATGAAAGTGAACCCTTTGTGCCCTTACTACAGCTAAAATACTTGCAGTACAACACTGGAGAGATAAATGCCCAACTCCTGTAAATCAATGGATCGAGCTGAAAGTCTCTGGTGTGAGACTTTGAGGTCCACACCACTGGTTACACTAAAGGCATGACTGCTGGTTTCATAAAACCATCAGAAGGGCTGTGTCGTGGCACCAAAAACGTCTCTGTATGATTGAAACGGGGCTGACCACTTTCTTCAGGGACTTGGCCCTCGTGTGGCATCTTGTAAATGTAAATGTAAATTTTGTTAAAAGTGGGCCGGTGCCTGTGCAGAAATCACTTATATGGCACCACACCACTGCTTGTATGAGAGGCAGCCCAGTTGAAAGACGACACTGCATGCGTGCAAAGTCCCACAGGACAGCACTTCTGCCTCCGCCAGCGTCCTCTTGAAATC